GCAAAGCTACAAAAAAGAAAAACAAGCAGGAAGAGAGACTGCAAACCAGCTTAGAAAGAGACGACATTGTCCAACAGAAAGCGACAAAGAGATGCAACAATAGAGACAAAAGTGAGCACATTAGAAACACTGCAGAGAAGCAGACGAGTTGTCCGACAGAAGAAGCGACGCAGAGATGCAGCGAGGTGTTGGATGATCAGAGTGATGCTGTGTAAAGACACCGTGAGGCACAAAGTGACTGACGGGTGCAGAAAGAGAAGGAACCACAAAGAAGCTCCGGTCTGAGCCTCAGAGTCAGTGAGGCTGCGTTCGTAGTCGAAGCCTGAGGAGCGTCTCTACTGCGTCTTACAGGCTGATTTTCCGTCTCCTGCCTTGTTTACGTCCATATTTTCCGTCCAGCAGTTTGGTTCTTTGACCTCTTGTGCGTGAACTTTGCTCCGCTGGAGGTCAGGAGCTGAGCCGGATCCCTTCAGGGCCGAACCGTCGGGTCGGTTTAGAAACAGATGAGCAGTGTTTTCTCCACACAGAGGAGTAAAGATCAGCCCAACATCCCGTCATAACGCCTGTCCTCAGCTTATCTGTGTCTAAACGGATTATTTTCCTCTGGTGGAGCTTCAGCGGTAAACAAGAGGCAGTAATGTGATGCTCATCTGGTCTTGAGCTTGCAGGCTGTTAATTAGGGAGAATTGAAAGTGAGAAGAGTTTGGAAACGTGTACATTTACCAGAGTTCCTGACTTTACGGTTATTGTTGGGCCCATTTCTGGACCTCCAGCTCTCTTACATCCTCATCAACCATCGAACCTTCGCAGCTTCAACTCCGAAGCTTCCTCTCTGGACCAAATATTCCTCCTTAATGCCATTTTTAAGGAAAACAAATCCATGTTTTCAGCGGCTGCTTTTAATGCTCCTAATATTCAGTATTTTATATTTACTTCACCTGAAAAATCGATCTTGCAAGTTGCAGCCGTGTTTCAGCGTTTCAGTTTCATTCTGCTTCACAAACTGATGTTAGAAGTCTTTATTCTGCTTTTTGGGCATATTTTGATTTAACACGTGCAGCTTTATAGATTCATGATTTGCTGATGAAGGATTCGCTTTAAAAAGAAGGAAGACTGTTTTAGTGAAAACCTGTAAATATGAGTTTAAAACCAGAAATGAGAGACTTTATACTAACTTTATTTTTACGTCCGCTTTAGCTGCACTTGTTTTGGTCATCTCAGATTCTTTTAAGCGTGCTGTGTAAATTAGATTTTGAAGACTATCCATCCATCATCATCTCTACACCTCAATCCTCACTAGGGTCATGGGGGGCTGGAGTCTATCCCAGCTGACTCAGGGTGAAGGCAGGTTCACCTGGACAGGTCACCAGTCTATCACAGGGCTACACTTAGAGACAGACAACCAAGCACACTCACATTCACACCTACGGACAATTTACAATCACCAATTAACCTCAGCATGTTTCTGGACTGTGGGAGGAAGCCGGAGAACCCAGAGAGCTGCACGGGGAGAACATGGAGACTCCACGCAGAAAGATCTCTGTTGTCCTCACCTGGATGCAAACCGACGACCTTCTAGCTGCGAGACGACCGTTTTCGTGAAATAATATTAAAGAGGAACGACCAGAAATGAGTCCAAATTGAAATGAGGGATGTCATTACGCGCCGACTTCACAGCAACCTCAAGGATTTAAGGACCTTTCATGGTCATACCAGCTCACGTTTACATTTCTGTGGCACGAAATTGGAACTCAGGTCCAGTTTTTATTTTTTCAAAAAGCCTAAATAATAATAAGTACAATTGTCAGACAAGAGCCACGTATAAGTAAATATATTTGACTTGTTCGTCCTCTTTCGCTGCACTCGAGCTGAACCTTGTTTTGACTCTGCAGCGCGCCGAAGCCCCCGAGGGCGCCGCTTCAACCGATGTTCGGCGGTGTCATCATCCCGCTCGCTCTGCAATCGCGGCGACATCTCGTCTTCAAACGGTTTTCTGAACAGTTGCTATCTCACTCGTTGACAGACGCCGTCAAGACAAACGTTTTTGCACAACTCTCCCACGTTTGTGCACGACTGCACGCGGCTCATGTGATGTCGGATGCGGCGAGCTGCGCCCCTCGGCCCCTCAACCTCGGCTGATGGCAGCGATAGCGAGCCGCGGGCTCCGGCCCACAAAGAGATCTTTGTGCAAATGAAAGTCTGCAGCTCAAATGACCATCAGGCAGCTTCGTTTAAACACATCTAACCAGTGATTAGCGGCGTGCCTGGACATGATAATGTTGACTTTGTTAGGCAGAAGTGGCTCAGTCACACTGTTTTTACACATCTGGAGCGGCTTTTATCCAGCGTGGCTCCAGGAACGGTTTCTTTATTGATCATCAAGGGGAAGAGAGTGAAGGGACCACAACAACCAACACAAATAAATAAGGACATGGAGACGTGTTAGGATAAAACATACACAATATAGTGTTAGATACTAACAATTAAACAGTGGCGCCGCCCCCCTAACGACTAATGACCAGATAAAAAGTAGTTCTCAAACGTAAAATTAAATTTGAATTAACTATAACAAAATAATAATAAAATTAATAATAACGTTCATATTCTTTTGCCATATTAACAATATATGTATTATGAACAGATGTAATGTTAATCTTTACTGTGTTGACTTCCTGGATGCGGCCACATGAGTGTGTATGGAGCTGGAAAAACTTTCCGTGGTCATGTGACCTCGGCCTGGGCTCTGATTGGCAGCTGCAGACTTTCTCACGGGGCGTCCTGGACCCGCCCACTTTTGCTGTCAGCCAATTAATTTAGTCTTTATTGGCTTTTGTCTTCTGTGGTTGGATATAAAACTGTCCTTCGACGTTCTTACGACTGAGCTTTTGGACACCGTCACACGACCTTTCACCTCCTCTGCTACGAGATCACAGCTACTGTCGTGACGGCTTCATGCATCGGCCTGCTGTCAATGGAGTAAAGACCGCGTGTAGAATTCATGTAACTGGGTTTAACCTCGGACTAATCGGACATGAGAACGTCCTCGTTTATTATTTTTAAAGTCATTTCTGGTCACACACCTGTCTGAGCACCACAGCCACCAACAGCAGCTACCAGCCTGCTATGTGGGGCGTTCAGGGAGCGTCAGTAAATCAGTAAATCGATATGAATATGTTCATAAGTTTTGCCTTTGACCAGGTGGGAGGTGCAACAAAATGAGAAAGTGGGTCGTACCAGTGCTACCAGTGAAAGAGTCAGTCTGGAGCCCTGAATAGTGTTTTTTTTCTTATAATTATTATTGTTGATGTTGTGTGTTTTGAGTTTGTGCAGATCCTGTAAATACTGATGAAAGTTTGATGAATGGTTTATGGAATCTGGTTCTGGTCAGTCTTGATAAATTAGATGATGATTAGAATATCCTCCAAAGGTAGAACATGTGCATTCCTGTGAATAGTTGTGCCTGACGTTACTCATATTCTAATTTCTGATTTTAAATTAAAGGTCATTTGCAGACTGCGCTCCCACCAAACATGTTCACCAGCTGCCACTGCAACTAAATCACTTCTTGTGTTTGGTCTGTTTTCAGTTCAGCATTTCACGACATTAAGTTGGCACAAGAGTTTAACTTTTTGAGCTGTAGAAATGCATAATTCAGACTTGTTCCTGACTGAAACTTTGCCCCGGAGTCGAGCTGTGCGTAACTCAAGCACAACTTCTTGCATTGTTTGCAGCGACGTGATGTTTTTGAAGCCGTTTTGTGATCTCGATGCCGGTTTTCTTTCACCCCGCCGCGCTTTGATTCATTTGCACATCCTGTTATATTAGAAAAAGCTTCATTTAAATCCACAGACGTTGAATTTCTGTGGCAGTTTGGTGCCTCGGTTGTAAACGTTTCTTCACTGCGGCCGTTCGTCATGTTTTTATAGTGAGTCGCCGCCACAAATCCTTTTGCCCTTTATATGACGGAGGCTCGTTTCACTTCCAGCAGTTTGAACCCCTGCAGGCAGGTTTGACGGATATCCGGTGAAACATTCGTCTTGACTTTTTAATCGTCTTTTTAGTCTCCTGATTTTGGTGAAAGCTGCTGTTTGCACGTGTTGCTCCGGAGCGGTGATGTCGCCACGCTTTCTGCAAAATTGGACGCCGTTCTTGTGATCGCGCCATGTAGCGGCTCAGCAGAGAGTTTATTCGGTGAAACCCATTAAATATTTTGGAGACGTATCGACTCTACTGGAAGCTGTGGTTGTTAAATTGCCCATACTTGCAGGTGTTTCTGTTATTTTGTCCACCACGCTGATCTCAATAACAGGAGGCTAAACAACACACAAAGTGATCGTACAGCTGAATTAACGGCTCTCTAAATATTATATTAAATTCATCTGTTAAATCAGATTAAATGCAGGACTGCTGGTTTCAGCCAAGCACACATGCAGTCATAAAGTGTAGACGCACTAATTTGTGTTGTAAACTTATTTAATCGTTTACCTCCAGCAGCATCCAGCCAGCTGATAGTTTTGTGGGTTTTGTTCCATAATTTAAGACGTACATTTGAGAGGTTTTTTGCAGCGACGTACATGAATTTAACAGCAACGTTTCCAGAAATGATCTGTAGAAGCCACCAAATGCAGCGTTAATAGATTTCAGAAAAAACTCCTTTCAACTACAGAAATGATCTTTTTTTCCCCTCTGAGGCTTCACCGGTTATCGTGCTGCACCGACCGCCTGATTGACGGAGCGTGTTCAAGGTGTTCAAGGTGTTCATAAATGCTGCCTTTATATAGACGAGAATATAGAGTCACTGTTCATCAGAGCGAAACAGCAGGAAACATGGAAGTGAAACGTACACGGAGAACCGCAAACATACACGAGTGCTGAAGTAGAAAAACACTGTGATGCTTAAAAGACTTAAAATAAAGGCTACCTATGGTGTCTTTAAAGCATAAGATGTAAAAAATGAACATGTAGATGCACCAAACTGAAGCCGTATCACCATTTCCCATCTTCTCGCCCCTCCAGGTTACGGTCACACCACCCCTCTGTCCGACACCGGCAAGGCCTTCTCCATCGTCTACGCCCTGATCGGAGTTCCCTTCACCATGCTGGTGCTGACGGCCTGCGTCCAGAGGATCATGTACCTGCTGGTCATCGGCCCCGTCTGCCTGCTGCAGCGCTCGGGCCTGGAGCCGCGACCCGCCACCGTGGTCCACTTCGTGCTGCTGCTGGTCCTGGTGGTCCTCTGCTTCTTCTTGGCGCCGGCGGCCGTGTTCAGCGCCGTGGAGGTCTCCTGGAGCTTCCTGGACGGCCTGTACTTCTGCTTCATCTCCCTGTGCACCATCGGGCTCGGGGACTTCGTGCCGGGGACGCAGCCGGGCCAGAAGTACCGGCCGCTGTACCAGGTGGCCGTCATGGGTGAGTCCGGCTGGTTTTGTGCCTCTTGTAAGATCAGAAACACCAAACTCTGTAGCAGCTATAAAATTAGACCAAAACCCAGAATATCCACTTTGTTAAAGTCATATTTGGCTTTTTGGATTAAAGTTTCAACCTGAATTCCTCTGAAACTGACCGACAGAATCCGTGTGTTCTGCATCTGTTGCATGTAATTCAAACTTACGTCCACATGCTGCTGATTGGCCGACTCTGAGGAAGCCTCACTTGTGAGCATCGCCTCATTTTTTCCAAAAGCAAACTGCAAACCCTCTAAGTAACGGAATTTCTCCTTTTTGATTGGAAACGGCAACTTCTAGCATCTGTTCACACGAATCAGATCCAGAATATGACATGTTGATATGTTTTTTATTAGGGGTGGGACTTTAACGCGTTAATTGCGATTAATTAATTACAGCAAAAATAACGTGTTAAATCTTAATTTGCATCAAGGCAACACGGAGCGTTTGTTAGCGCCTGATTTCATGGTCCACCGATCGCACTGATGCACAAGATGCTATGCTACGCTAACAACAACAAACATGGAGGAATCCGATGAGAGTGCATCGCTTGGACTGATGGAGGGCAAGCTTCATTTAAAAAAAACTGCCTGATGGAAGCCTTGACAAGAGCGTGGTTTTGTTCAAAAAAGAATTGGCATCCCACTGACGCACATCAAGCTGACGGTACCACCTGAATGCGTGTTAGCGCTAGCAGTCCTGGTCCGAGTACGAGCAAGCGGTGTCGGCCCTATCTTATGCAATTAAAATGCTATTAATTGAGATTAATTCATTACGAAGCCTCTAATTAATTAGATTAAAAAACATTTAATCGAGTCCCACCCCTAGTTTTTATTATTACCTTACACGTAGTTTTGCTTCTACTGATCTTAAATCTGCAGGTTGGTACAGTTCCAGGCTCTCTCACTTCTTCTTTAAGGCCTCTCGTCCGTCGTGCATGTTTGATAAGAGGGCGTTGTCTCATCCTGCTCCAGGATACGTTTACATCAGCGCATGTTTACTCAGATTATCGCCGCAGATGAATTCCAATCTCCCGTAAAAATCCATCATGTTTAAACGGTGACACAGAAGTTATAGAACGATGTGAGAAGAAGCCCACAGCGTCCGTAAAGTTTACATTCAAGTGTGTTTGTTTTTCCCGGAGCTGCGTCATCGTGAATAAGAAGCGATGAAAGCCGTTGTCGTGGGGCGACTGCGGGTCATCTGTTGATCACGGGTTTGTTTGTTTGTTTGTTTGTTTGATCCACGCTCAGCCCCGTGAACGGCTTCGCGCTGATCTTACCGGGCCGCTGAAGAGCGATCTGCAAACAAAAGCAGGGACTGAAAGCACGTCAACAGGAGCCGGATTTACTTGACAAAACAAGAAAACAGATTCAACACGTGTGAGCTCGCCCCCGAAGCATGCTTTGATGAGTAGCGCCGGATGTGAATGCAGCCTTTTGTGTCGTTTTAATCTGACAAATTTGCTAATAAACGCGACCATCTGTGCTCTAAATTAATGTAAAAATAAGCCACCGAGTCATTGCAACTCTAGCAGGGAAATAAAAGAGCAGCCTGGCAGCCGATGATAAAGAGAAACATTATGTAATGAATAGCTCGCTGGAAATAAAATGATTATTGCTCTTGTAGGAATCCTATTTATTCAGATTCCAACATGTTATATAGGATTCCTGCACAACAACGTATAATTAGTGGATTTTTTTTCCTTTTAAATTGTTATTTAACCGTAAGACAGTCGCTGGAAACCTGCTGCACCGGTGGGTTTTGCTAAAATGAACGCTAACCGGAGGACGTGACACATTTCAGTGCACTATTTCTTTCTTGCGAGGGTCACACGGAGCTGACAGATGCCTGCAGAGGAGGGCAGGAGGATGTTTTGCAGAGGCGATCGCAGCCAGCTTCCCCGCAAATGTCATTGCTTAGATGCAGTTTCCTGGAGAAGCTAGAATTAAAAATGGAAAGGCATCGGATGGTTTGTAATTTGTCGTTGGACAATGCCGGAGCAAGCGGTGAAGTTTTAATTCAAAGCCTCTCCCGGGTGGCTGTGTCCGTCCTGACCCATGCATGCAGCCTTCATTCTCACCTCCGATGTGAGAAGTCGCACCTCCCACCGCTTCTATTTTCACGCCGGCGAGTCGGGGTCGAGAGGTCGGCTCCTCACAAACGAAACTTTATCTGTTTAGCGCTGCGGAAATTGAAGTTCACTCTTCTGTGTAGCTCATTTTGAGTTAAGCTGACTTTGGGGTTGAATTTCATTCAACAGGAATAGAAAAAAAGTGTCTGGAGGATTAGTGGCTTTTTGGTAGAAGTTTGATTTTTAATGAGACTTTTTAAAAGGCGGGGAGAGTCGGAGCAGCAGAAACCTGAATGTAGAATCAAGGTATCATCAGAAAGTGGCTCAAGTTATAGCAGATAACCCTAAAAGTTCTTCAGTAGCTGCAGCACAAACATTGTTTTCATGAGTGGAAAAATGTTTTCAGCTTAAAATGAGCTGTGCCGTTTGAGAGCTTTAAACCAGAGAATATTTTGCATTTTGCTCCATCTTTGCTGATAAACTCTAACTTGTAGGTCGCCTGCTGGGAGCTTTTGTACATTTCTGCTCCCCAGAGGATGAATCCTACGGACTCAGGCTGACGTTTCAGGTTTTTTTTTTAAAAAAAGTCCAAACTATTGTATGTTTGCCATTAAATTGACGACATTTTCCTCAGGATGTGATCAGGTGTGTCATCCTCCCACGGTCACATTAGAAAACACAATAAAACTGATAAACAGTACGTGCCTCACGTCGGCATGTCGACGTTGACAATGAGCTCCACTCAGCGCTGAGTCGCACAAAGCTGCAGATTTATTCGTAGCTCTGTGCTATTTTTATGAAGCGTGCTTCCCATATTAGGAGCAGATTTTGTCATCGTTTGGCAACAACATCTTGTGAGTCATGTCTTGAGTGATTCTTGTTATTTTACTTAATTTAATTCCCGCTGCAAAACCACAGGGACGGATTCAGAGGGATGTCTGTGAGCTGAACTTTTAGTCGCCTTTAAAACGCTTAAAATTCACCGTTGAACTGTTGAACTGAGCTTTTTATTTAATGATGGTTGTAGGAGCTGTGAGCGTATATACGTTCTTAATATACTCACATATGAGGTGCATATTAAATTGCATTTATTTCTAATATATATTCCTATTATTATGCTTTTCCTTATTTTTTTGTCATATATAAAGGCACAATGTTTATGTTAAATGTCCAGCTGCCGTCAGCTCATCCTGGATTTTATTTCACTTTTATCTGCACATAAATCAAAACTACAATCCTTTTAGTAAATGGATGAACACGCTCTTGCCAATACTTGAGCAGCATAACTGCAGGATATGAAAACTTGCATTACAAGAAGATATTATGCAAGTCATTTGCATGCAGAAGAGTATTTTATTTTGTCACCTTTGTTCCAGCAGATTGTCAGAAAATACCAACTTTATCGTTTTATTTGGCGTTTTAGCACATTTGTGACACATGCAGCTGTTAACGGGGGCATGTAAAGCAAAATTTAAATCGACTGTTACGTGATGCAGTTTGCAGGCAAAAATCGTAATATTTATCAAACATATCAATATATTTCATTCTGGGTCAGATTCAGCCTAAAAAAGTGTGAACAGATATGAGAAGTTATGTAACTCATGCGGTTCCTTTTTTCGATAACCGGGCAAAAAAATGAGGTGATGCTCACAAGTGAGGCTTCCACGGAGCCAGCCAATCAGAAGACAGCGGGCTAATGTTGCTTGTTTGGCTAAACTGACGGGCTTCATTTCACACAGTGACGTAATAAAGGTTGTTTTTTTTTTAGCAGTGATTCAGTCCCAGATTTAAAAACACGGAGCCGGATTCGAGCCTAATAGATCCCCCGTTTACCGCAGACGCACTTCTTTGTGAAGCCCTCGTGCTGGTTGTTTGTGTGTCTGCGCTCTGGTTGCGATGGAGAGGCGTCGCTGTCACATGGCGGAGGGTATTTTCACAGTCTTGTTTTTCAGTGGGTGTCCTCTCTGTAATTGAATCGGGGTTGGACTGACCTTTTTTTTTTTTTTGTCTAAAAGTAGCCCGGTTGTTGTTTTGTGTCTCTCGGCCTGAGAGCTCTGCAGCGAGTATCTGACAAACACTTATTAGGATGAATGAGCTCTGCTGTATTCAGCAGCGGGGGGGAGAAAGAAAATGCACTATCTCCGCATCGCTTCTTCGGTTTTGGTCGTTACCCAGCAACAGTTTGATGAGAAAACAGGAAAATTACACCCCGAAATAGTTTTTACTGCAATTGTGTCGCTTGAGGACACGATGTTATTTGTTCCACGAGGCGTCCGTCTATTGATATGCGCGTTCAGCAGCCGAACAATTAGCAGCGTTTCTTGTTTCGGTTCGGCGATCAGAGGTGGTTGTGGTTTTCCTTCGTCTCGGCTAATCTCCCGACTCCAGTTTGGACGGAGGCCCGGCGGTTCGCACGGAGCTGCCGCGTCGTTTCCTCGTCCCACAGGCTGCATTATGTAACAGCGGCGCAGGTCGGGTCGGATTAACCCAAACGCTCCCTGCAGGTTCTGAGGAGGATTAGTGACCGGCCTGTCGAGGTCTCCTGAAACTGTTCTCGAAAACAGGTCGCGTGCAAATGCGGAAATAGCAACACGTCGTAACGGGAATTCACACTGTAGCCGCATCAACAGCAACCTGAATGCTAAATCAAATGTGCGTTTTCCAGAAGAAGTTAGCATCCAAAGTAAGAGGAGTTTCTCTTCCTTGTGCTTTTTTTGCAGAATCACATGAAGTAAAGGCTGCACACAATACAGTCTACATCACAAGATTTTTTTATTTGTCATCTGCTCAAGTGATTGTTCCTCAGGGCTTTGCAATAATAATAAGAACAGTTCTAGAAAATTTGAAACGGTTGCAGCATCATGAACGATAATGAGGTGGAGATGTTGGCGACTGAAGGTTTCAGATGTTGTTTTGCAGCTTCTATCCACAACATTGTGTGCCGTTGCTCAATGCAAAGGCCGTGAATGTGCTGAAACATATCATTGACGATGTAAAGACACAAGACAGGGCGCTTTTTTGTTTGTTTTTCCGCATCGTGCTGCCGAAGAGCAAATATTTTGAAGGCGTCGTTTGGAGTTTGGACAGTCAAAGTTCTCATAAGAGTAGAAAACAAAGATTCAAACTGTTTGAAGTGCAGTAATTCATTCAAACCATAGACGGTATAAAAGATGGACGTAGCTACCGTGACGTCACCCGTTGGTTTCTGCACTGAGAACATGAAGCCAGGGTTTTGCTACTTCCTGGTTGACATCTTGGATTTTTGGAGCCAGTGACGCAAAAATCGT